TTTTCCTAATCTAACTAGATAATTAAAAATAGAGTACAAATATATTACAGATGGTGCCACCTTTGAGGACAGTATCAAAAACTTCTGTGTTTATTTTCTAAATTGGGTGGTAGTTAATATCACCCATGTTTCCATAATGACATTAACAGCTCTTATTTCCTGACACATTAATCCACACAACCCTTGGATCTAGATATTCTTGTTCTCATTTTAGAAACAAGGAAATTACATAAGCACCAATGGAATAGATGTGTATCATTTTGTCAGATACAGGAAGTTCTTATTAATCTAGAGAAAAACACTTAGTGAGAACAGCAGTTAACTGAAATTAATACTCTGACGCAAATTTTCAATCTTTCCAATATTGTTAATGCAGGTCCTCTACAATCTGAAATTTCTCCTACTGTACCAACAATACTTTCCCCTTGTAACTAAGATGTTTTTATAGTACTTCTTATTCTAAACACGCAGGCCTGCCAGGGTGGGAATCTGTCTTTGCCCTATTCAGCCACCTAATAAATTCATACAGGACATATCAAATACAGTGATGGTCAGGAATGTGGCCTCTCGTGGCTTTGCTAAACCTTTGCCTGGCCTTGCAAAAAATATTTTTGAACTTTAGAATTTATTACCTAATTACAACCAGGTATAGTGTAACCAATTCATTAACTTGCCCCAAACCAAATTTTAAATTGTTTACCTGTCACCTAAATGTCACAGCAGGTAACCGTCCTTCATGGCGCTGACAGCGCTGTGCTCCCAGATCAAAGTAAGCCGAGCCCCCCCCCCCCATTTCAATCAAAGCAGCATTTCAGAAATCAAGTTTTTTTTTTTAATCAGTTCTCTGAGAAGCACAAAGGGCAAAAGAATATGTAATCCTTTCCTTTGCGGCAAAATTACTTTAATAATCTGTATAGAAATGAATGATGGGATGTGTGTTGATGATAAATTCCAAAAAGTAATAGAAGTTATAATTCATACCTGTAAAAATGCAGTGAAGGAAAAAGAATTCCACATTTAGAAGTGACTATAGGCTTTTTTTTTTTTTTTGAGACAGAGCCTCAAGCTGTCCCCCTGGGTAGAGTGCTGTACCATCACAGCTCACAGCAACCTCCAACTCCTGGGCTCAAGTGAGTCTTCTGCCTCAGCCTCCCAAGTAGCTGGGACCACAGGCGCCCACCACAATGCCCAGCTATTTTTTGGTTGCATCCGTCATTGTTGTTTGGCGGGCCTGGGCTGGATTCAAACCCGCCACCTTAGGTATATGTGGCTGGCGCCTTAGCCACTTGAGCCACAGGTGCCGAGCCTCTATAGGCTTTTTAAAAGTATCACTCATAACTGATAAAGAAATATTCCAGGCAGTGCCTGTGGCTCAAAGGAGTAGGGCGCCGGCCCCATATGCCGGAGGTGGTGGGTTCAAACCCAGCCCCAGCCAAAAACTGGAAAAAAAAAAAATTTTCCTGTTAACTAGGGATTAAGAAAGAACCATCAAGTTTTCCTTTCCATCCTTGCTTTTTTTCTTTAGAGATGTCATTTAAAAGCATTAGAGCAAACATTATGATGTAAGTCTGTGTTACGTAAGAATGCGAATACATGGAGATTCCTTCAATAGAGGAAATGAAGCTGAACAGCTGAGGCCACATCTGACCCGAGTTTTCAAAATAAAATTCCAATTACGAAAACGGTTAACACGCATCTATTGAATTTGCTCATTCAATTCTAGTTAATTTTGTCTAACCAAAATTTTACTCAGTCATTATGCAAATATTTATCAACCATCTACCATGCACTAGGTAATACAGCTACAATGGGGAGAATTAAAAAAAAGGAGATATTCTCTGCCATTTATTTTATATTCCCTAATATTAACCAATATATCCAGAATCCTACAGGATTGCTATTTCTTGACAAAAATCGTTCTAAAAATATTTATTTGGAATCAACAATTCATAATCCAATGATATTTCAAGGAGAAGTTCTAATGAGACAGAGGGTTATTTGGCACAGAAATACACCAGCAAAAATGAAACAGATATAATCTATTTCAGTAATCTTAAATCACACCACTAAAATATAGAATTTAATGTTCTTACATAATGCCCAAAGTATTTTTCCTTTAATCTATTCCTGATTGCCTTATTATATTAAAAAAAAAAGAATTGATTTTTATATCACTTGGCATTTTATGTGCTTTGAGAGTACATTTTGTTTTATTAAACCACAATGTGTTTAGGCAGCATTAAAGTATTAAAATATTCATCTTAAAAGATTTCTTGCCAACACTTTTAATTCCCCCAAATAATCAGAGATCTAAAAATACAACAGTAACTGGTAAAACTTAGGTCCTATCACCTTTCCACTCCCCGACATGCATTAGTAGTTCTACCCTTGTTGTAACTGGAGTGCCCATGAATGTATGGATGCATAGATATTTTGTATTAATATACACGTGATCTATAATTTCACCAAGAACATTTCAATTTATGTAAAGTCACTGGGATTAAGAGGTAAATGAAACTGTACAACATTTATGTGGAGGGAGAGCGGGAATCGGGAAAGACAGCTAATGTGTACGGGTTTCTTTTCGGGGAGTGTTGAACATGTCCTAAAAATTAGAGAGTGGTGATAGTTGCATAACTTTGTGAATATACTAAAAGCTACGGAACTGTATGTATGCTTTAGATGAGTGGATTTTATGGTATGTGACATATATACCAAGAAAGCTCGGGGCGGGGGGGTGGGGGGAAACCCTCTATGTAAGAATGTCCATCAAGTTCTCTAGTCTCTAAAAGCACCCTTGGGTATAAAACCATTGCTTCCCTCACTGTCCGTGAACTGTATCGCCTATCTTTTCATTCGCTATGGGAGCTACTGATTTTAAAGGTATCAATATAATATAAAGGTATAATATCCCATCTGCGGGATTCAGTTTTGGAGATGTCAGCGGGGGCCTTAAACAATGACTACTTCATGTAACTTTAACACAAACCAATTTCTCAAACACACACACACAACCCTACGTGGGTTCTTATACCTGGTAGTCCAAAATGCTGAATCCCAGGCCTTTCTGATCTTTTACCAGCTCAACGATCTTGACTTCTGGCGACCAGAGTGCTAACTCTCCTTCATCGTCCTCTCCAGGGCTGTTGTCCACACTGTGCTCCACCTGAAACACCAGAGGACCAGGGACACATCAGGAACCTCAGCTTCTTCTCAAACCAGCAATTCTCTTTGGCATGCACAGTTTTTCTGTTTCATCTTTGTGAAAGGGGCATGCACTGGGCACACACACTCCACGATAAGATCTTCATGAATATTCAAGCACTGAAAACGCAGATTGTCAGACAGCTGTTTTTTAATGTTAAGTACCTGTTTCATTCAAAGTATTAACACTGACTTTATACCTCAATGAGTTCTGTCATCCCATTAGAAGCATAAAAGGAAAAATACACAATTTAAGTGAATGAAAACATCATACAAAGTAGAAGCTTATAAGATACTTCAGTAGCAATATCTGGACTCATAATTACAGACAGACAAAAAGATGCCAACATAGCAACAGGCCAGAGCAGCAGAACAGAAAACCACTCTGCAGGCTCCTCCAAGTTTTTAAAGCAAAACTTTACTAGAGAAATGAGGTGGAAAAAAGGAAAAAATCTAAGACCTTGGGCAACATGTAGGTCTAAAAATATGTTTTAAAAAATCACTGAGTTGAGGCTCGGTACCTGTAACTCAGCAGCTAGGGCGCCAGCCACATACACCAGAGCTGGTAGGTTCG